GTCGGTAAATCGGGCTAGATGGCTCCTCCAACATATTTTCTAGCCAAATATCGAGACCATCGCCACCTTCATCCTCCGACTCGCCTGGGTTGATGACCACTTCCGTATCACGCTGTCTGCGTGCGCTGCTGCGCGCAGACGTGCGCGTGCTGCCTGCCTGCGCGCGCTGCTGGGCTGTGATGACGGATCGATCTTTTGCCTATACTTGGGTTGCGAATAAACGACGCACTGCGGCCTTCGTTTATCCCCGATAGGTGTATCTAGCAGACGCACTCAGGGCCTTCTTCTAGATACCGTGACTTCAAGACGCACTATTGGCCTTCTCTCCGACACTGTATGTAAAGACGCACTAATGGCCTTCTTTATCACACGTTAAGAACATAAAGTTCCCCCTCAAGATTGGCTCACCAATTCAATACTTCATTCAACTTTTAAAATATGATGAGGTACATGGGGTATTTATAGATACCAACTATCTTTAATGCTAATCTTACTAGGAAACTAATAAAATAATTAAATATTAAATCCTAAGGCTAGTAAATATCCTACTACCATAAATTCCTAAATCTACTAGATCTCTTAATGTCTTGACTTGCACTCCAAGTAGGGAAGAATAATCTAGAGAAGATTCAGCTCAAAAAGGTCTCCCACACTTGGTTTCTTGCTAGGCAAGTCATGCCCCGTGCGCTGCCCATGCTGGCCTGCTGCCCGCGTGATGAAGGATCGGATGTTCGTGTCCTCGGCTTGTCTCAATCACGGCTTCGCCACGGCCTTGCTCTCGACGATAGGTGTGATCGACTCGGTTATTAGCCTAACTCTCTCACGATACTTGAGTTCACTTGGTTATTAGCCTCGTTTCACTCGCGAAATAGATCGGGTCTTAGCCTCTCTAAATCGTTGAATTGGCTTGGGTCTTAGCCTCACCAATTCGATTTGTATGATCGAATCTCACGACTCTCAACACACGGTTTGAACAAACGTTCTTTTCTATTCCATTCCAAGACTCCCCCCAAACAATGGGGGATGACCCCTATTTATAGATCCTAACTATGACTAAGTCTAATCTACCTAGGAAACTAATTAAAGCAATTAAATATTAAATATCCTATACAATCTAGATA